CCCCAAAACCCCAAAACCCCAAAACCCCTAAATGCAAGATCCTGTGCTAAATTTATGAAATTAAGGTTTTTGTTAATCAATTCAATCAATCGAAACACATTCAGATTTCACAAAGATTTGTAAATTTATAAACTTCCTCATTATTGATTGAAAACCTTTGTTCCAATAGAAGGAAATTGAGGAATCAATTACTCCTCAGCAAATAATGAAGGTATTTGCTGTTGGTATGCTTGCTAAGCTTAGATAGTTCTTTAATTTTAATCCTAGATTTGTTTCTCTAGCTCTTCCAAAGTAGCTTTGAGCTTTTTACAAAGTTCAAGATCAATTTTTGAACCTGCTGGTGCTCTTTTAATATCATTTGAGCCTTCCTTATTTCCAATATTAGTCCTTTCTTCAAGAATATTAAGGAACCATTTGATACTTATCATGAGTCCATCTAGTTCATACTCTTCATCGAAGATTCTGCTAAAGTCTAAGAATTTAGAGGTTATTTTTTCTCCAGCTACTTCTGAATCTGGACCACAGAATGCTGAACACATAAGCAAAGTTTACCTGAGTAGTCTCTTTTATTCATCATTAATGAGTTTACTAAGATAACCCTTTTTAGAATGGGTTTCTATGAATATATCAATTGCATCTCTCAATTGATTAGGAATTTAATCTTTTGTAGTTAATAGCTTGTCCTTGAAATCTTTGTATGTAGATCTTAATTGGTCCATTTCTTAGACTGAAAGCGACCCATTGTTACTTATTATATTATTTCTGATGTTTAAGAATATGCTCAACTGCATTTTGACTCTTTGATTCAAAGACTCAATAAACTTGTCCCTTGATAATTCCATCATCATTCTCAGCTCTATTTACTTTATAACTTGTAGAGCTTGACTAGTACTACCTGAATCTTTTTACTTCTAATTTTCTGATTGTCTATACAGCTAAATGAACCTTTTTTAAACTTCTTTAATATACTCATACTTCTAGCATTGCTAGCAAATCTCCAAGTAAAATCTTCTAATCTTTATTCTTAGATCGCATATTGAGAAGTCAAAATGATTGATTTGTGTGATAAGATTCTTTTTCTCATCATTTTAGTAGAAGTTTTATATGCTCTAGTTTTGGTAATTGTCCTCATAGTTATTCATAGAGTTTATCAACGGTAAGAGCATATCTCGTATCTTTTCCATTATTTCAAAGCAAGTTCTATTTCTCTCACATTGATTTAGTTCAATTTCCATTTTAAGGGCTTTAGCTAAAGAATATTGGAGAAGCATTTTCATCCATACTTTAGGAGAAGCTAATGATAGTAATTAGAATAGCCTATCTCCATAGAGATAAAGCTTAAATAAGCTATTTTCATATTGGTTATACGCAGGGATTTCATTTGTTTCAAATATCTAAGCTCTTAATAAGGAGGCTGAAATATTAGGATCAAGAACAATGCTCTCTTCTCTGTCAGACCCTACTTGATATGTAGTTGATTATGGAACAAGTGTGTTCTATATAAATTTGAAGATATCTCTGTTAGTTGATAATGTTTAAATCACAGTCTCAAATATCATTTTCATTTCTGCTAATTCTTAATCTGAGAAGCAGTTTTCCTCATACTTTAACTAGAGTCCAAGTTTAATACCATATTTTATAAGGATAATAAATAATTCAACGCATCCATTAAGAGATTAGTTCATTCTTGCAATTTTAATTGATTTAGCAATTTAGCATAGAAATTTGTATTTTTGTACAGGATCATTCGATAAGTCCACCTTATCGCACATTTTCCTTTATATAATTGACTGCAAGCAAGGATAATCGAAAGAGAGATTAATTTCCATATTATCAAATCTGTTCTAGAACTAACTTGTGATTGAGTGCATCTATAAGATGTACACTTCAAATAAGTCGGGGATTAATTTAAATTGAACTTCATCACCTAAATTATTTTGAGATCTCTGTATATATTCAATTAACCTTTCCAGTAATTGGCATATCGCCTGCTCAACTTCATATGCGTTATTACAACGATATCTTGGATCCTGTTGAAGGATCAAAAGTTTCTCAATTTTCTCACAGATAATAGACAGAATTATGATAGCTTATTAAAGATTCTTAATACTTGCTTATTATCGATTAATCAAATCTAAACTCTTTGCTTTTGATGCATACTTAAGCTTAAACTATTTACATTTCAAATTGTTACTCACTAATAATTGTATAAGGATAGATAAAAATCTTACATAAGGTTATCATCTGAGTAAGGCATATTTTTATCAAATGAGCCTAGTTAGTATTTGCCCATGACATTGAGTAGTTACTGCTATTCTAAGTTATAAATGTTCGCCCATTTTTTAATTCCTGTTTAATTTAGTTATACAACTCTAGCAAACTTATCATCATGATATTCAATGATTTTTTATAGCTGACTTTATTCTTAATATAGTTCTCATTTGTCTTGTAATCCTAATTCAATTTATGACTATTGACGCTTAAGTAAATTTCTGATAAAATTTAAGTATGGATTATTTAAGATTAAACCTTAAAATCTGAATACACCAAGTTTATTGGAGATAGCTTATCTCTTAGAGCTTGCAAATATGAAATAGTATTGGAATTATTGGGTCCTACCACTCCATAAAGACTTGGAAAACTCTCAACAAGAGTTAATTTTTTCTTACCCTTTTAGTTCACTATCTAATATGGAGATGCTTCAAAGCAGATATGTGACATTATATTCAGCAATTATGATGATAAATTTTCTATTGTCTACTTATATTTAAGATTGTCTAGGTTACATCTTTGATTTATCGTCCCACAAGTGCATTTGACTTGTTGATTTTGTTAACTTATATTGTACATTAAGAAAAATTTAAATGGAGTTTTGTCTGATGCTTCTTAAAAGATAGAATAATAGTGTTTAGCTTTGCTACAAGATTCAAAAATCTGTTTTTATTTCTCTAGTAAGAATTTGCAAATTACATCAAGAAAAGTTATGATATTTGCAACATCTTTTTTAATCATGGTACCGCATTATGATAGTCTGCCGTTGCAAAGTAGATTACAGAAACTTAGAATATCTTTCAAGAAGTAAGCGTCGATTAAATCATTTTAATATAGATATCCCAGTTGCTAGTTCTAAATGCCACTACCAGTCAAATTCATTTTCTGAGTTCCATTGTAATTAACAATTTACTGCCAAATTTTGTTTTGATTAGCCTTCATGCCATAGACCATTTTAAGCTAATAGCTTTTCTTTTCATCCTCACTCTCCTCTTCTTCCTCATCCTCATCATCTTGCTTAGAACTGTTCCTTTAAAAGTTTTCTGAATTTTCTCGGCTATTCCTATTTTTCTTGGAACTCATTTAGATATCTCTGCTATTCTTTGACGGATTAGCTTGTGACAGTTTTTAAAGTTCCTTCATGCTGAATTTAAGATCAAAGAAATATTGAGAAAGCTAGATCAGCAAAGCAAGTAAATCATTATTATTGTTGATAAAGCCAGATGACCCATTAATATTCCCAAGATGAATTTCCTTTGAAGAATCTAAATAATTGACATGAGTTACGAAGAAGTTCATCAATGGTGGGAAAATTTGAGTAAGGAAATAGAAGTATGATTTTAAGAATACTTCATGATTTTTCTTGCAAACTTTATCAAATTGCTTAATGAGTTTAGTCACCTATTTCAACTAAGTATTAAGATCTTCACCATGATTAGACTTAAGAATGGCAATGAACATCTCCATGTAGAATAAGCTCATTTATATTGACTAAAGAATTTTATCTCCCTACTTAATTTGCTGCTAGTTCACTTGGTAATGTGTGAATTCGTTACTTAACAATCTTAAGAGATTTTATTCTGTTCTCATAAGTTCATTGATTTGTTTACGGGGTTCTGTAGTCATAGTTATATCTCTAAGTTCATGAATCAAAGAATTCTTAAGAAGAGATATATCATCAAAGTTAGATTCCTTTGTAGATTCCATTATTCTGATGAAGACTATTTTGAGTTTGTCTGAGATTTCGCATAAAATCTTTTCAAACTCTAATTTTTTAAGCATATATTAATCGTAGTATTATTTCTAAAGACTTTGAAAGGCAGTCAATATACTGAATAAGTGATTCACTACTCTAAACATAGTGCGTGATTCACTGTAACACAATGAATATGATAGTTTATCCCACATCTCTTTTATCTTTTCTTCTTAGGTAGAGAAATTAGCAGACACAGAGAATTCATTTTAGTAAGCTTTTTAGAGATATATGCATAACTGATCGAGATAAAAATAAGTAAGCTCGCTAAACTAAGGCTGTATTTATTCGCCAGAAATCTTTCCCTGTCTTTCTTCCAACTGCTTGCTCTTCAATTCCATTAACTTGACATCATTGTTTTTGAAAACCTAAGCTTCCTTTATCTTGCAACTTCCATACTAAGCAATTTTATATTCATCAATGCTATAGTTGCTAGAAATCCAAGGAAGACAAACTGAACCAAACTATCTAAGTTGCTCAATATCTAATCTCTAAAAATATCTGATACTCGAATGCATGTCATTCAAAATTTCAAATGAGTTAAACATCATACAATTGAAAAACCTTATTTTGATGCTCTCAAATTAATGTATTTTATCTAAGTTTTAGGAAGACTCTTACCAATATTAGATATCTTTATTCATTATAATAAATACTTCTATCTCTTTGTCTTTCAGATAATCGTAAAATCCTTTTCTCTAGGATATTAAGCCATTTGATTTCACATGCTTCATTACTTAATCATTAAAGAGAGACATTTCAAATAAGGTAAGAATAACTGAGAATGAACCAAAAGCGTCAAGTTACTAAATTGAAAAATCATTATTTACTACTACTAGGAATAATCTGTAAAGATAGCAAGAATTTTCAAAATTCAAAAGCAAATTCTTGTTGTTATCATCATCAATCAAATACCTCAACATGTTTCTCAGAACATATAACACCCCTCTTCCTTAAATCTTTTTTAGAATAATATTAAATTTGCCAAAAGCATTAAATATCTAATCGCTCTTCTTAGAAAGTTAGAAGTCCTAGCCTGAATTACGATACTTGTTTAAATTTTAAGAGTTTTCATTATCGTTTGCATTGTTTTAAGGCTTCTACTCTTTTTCTTAAACAAGAAACTATCTTGCAGCTTGAATTTCATTTATAGAGTAAATGAACTCCAAATCCTAGTCAGAAAGTTAAGGGTTTTCAGTTATGAGATAATCTTTTAAGTCTTTCAAAGCTTAAAGATTGTATTACTTCAATTATTATTCAGTTGAGTCTAATTTCTTTCTTAGTTATCTCTTGGTTTCCTACGCATTTTGCTATTAAGTCGCAGCCTGTTTTTTAGTCTAATTTGGTTGCTAAGCGATTGTGCTGTTTGTCTATTATTCTTGAGCACAGTTCTTCTTCTCTTTTTGATTCATAATATCATTGTATTTTTTCAACTAATCCTCAAAAGTTGCTTAGGAATCTTAAAAATACTAGTCAAAAATTACTGAGTATTTTGAGGAATCAATGAGTGAATTTTACAGTGTATCCCAAGATACTTATTCGCATGATGCTGCTAATTGTAACAAGAAATCATCAAAGTACTCAAATAAGGTTGAGTATTCTTTCTGCGGCTTAAGCTGTATTATATGTTATTAGTTTTAAGCTCTAAGAACTTCATATGAGTGCTCAACTCTATCGAATTCTTGATTATAAATTTTGGATTTAATAACCAAGTCTTTACTTTAAAGCTTCTCTTGTACACTTTCGTTGAATTTCTTGATAATTTCTAAGTCTGAGTATTTTGCATTAGGTTAAATTTTTCTCGCATTAAATAGGTAGACCTGATTCATTCTATCATCACCTTTCCAAGAACAGAAATAAGATTTCATCAGAAAAGCGAAAAATTCAGACTTCTGATCGCCTCTTTCATTCTGTCTAACTAGTATGGAGTCGATCATTTATTCAGAAGTTTTGTAATCAAACTCTTGAAAAGCTATCTCAGCTAGCTTTACTAGTATCGGATTGATGTGAGATGATCTTCTTTAGATTGTAGTATAAGATTAGATAGCAATTTCAAAACATGATTTAGCTAAGTTGAAATTTTTGAAAGTTTCATACTCCAAAAAGCCTAATCTAGTCCAGATGAAGGGATCTTTTTCCTTGATTTTAATAGCCTATGAATTTTGAATTAAATTAAGATACTTACAGATGTATAAAAATCTTTTGCTTTTTGGAACTCTCCTACCCTTTCATAGATCTCTCCGATGTTTTTGAATGCATTAAATCTCATATACACATGCTTATCAATTTTAGAGTCCTAGGTAGAATTATGAAACAGAATTTATTAAGTATTAAGGTTACCTTTAGAAACTCTTGGCCTATAATATCAAGATAGATCTCAAGAGCCTCGTAATTTCTCATTTAGTTCTTGAGTTAGAATGCCTCCATCAGCTTCTTATTGTAATGTTCATCTCTGAGCTCCTCAGACATTCCATTTATACCAGAAGTACCTGGCTATCCTTCATTAGTTTTCTGCTTGATGTCTTAATCAGGTTATTTTTTACGAGCAACTCCTCCGAATGAAATAATCTAAAAGTGAGTTAAGAATTGGCGGGAAGCTATCAATTTAAGGGACTTACCATATCAATATAAATCAATTTAAATTAATAATTATAATTCTCACACTTAACTTGATATTGCTTGCATCCATGGGGTTTTGGGGTTTTGGGGTTTTGGGGTTTTGGGG